TCCTCCAAAACCACCCATAGGATTTTAGAGGACTGAGGAGGGTTAAGGACTTGTGTGGTGTACGTACATGCACATGGACCTACATGTACATATACAAGAGGCAGTTGTTAACCCTCGGCTTTTTTTTTCATGATTAATTTCATGCCTCCACTTGCAAACTGCTAAACATAAATATCAGTTCATTCAGTCTGGCTTAATGAATCAGGGAGGCTCCAATACATGTACATGTGTACATATAGGTTGTCAAGTGAGTCAGTAGAGAGTCCACATCACCAAGAAGTGTCTCAATGTCAAGTGACTTGCTGCAGTCTCATTAAGGTGGTAACACCTGTAGTCAGAACATTGAGGGACCTGTTCATTCCCTCGGCCACGAGGAGGCATTACGTGTATGCTCCCAAGTGTGTGCTATGATGTCTTTTATTTCAGTTACCGAATGGAGTCTCCCCTGTAAACCCTGCTCACCAGGCCAAACTGCAGGATTTAATTCGAAACTCACAGCGGCATTTCAAACGGCTACGATTACTATATGACAAGTGTAACCAGCTGTCTGGAGGAATGGACCAAAGTAATGCAGAGGTACAGTACATGTAGGATTATGCCACCAGAATGTGCCATTTGAAATTCAAACTACTGAATTAGCTGTTATAAAGTATGTACGTTAAAGGCTACATGCTCATGGAACTGAAGTACCTTCACTTATGTGGTGATAGGAAAAGCAGAATTTGCCACACTGTGTAATAGTTTAAGATACTCGGAATCTGTCCTGCATGCTGTGCTTGTAGAAAGTAGTAAAAGAAGACGGAAGAAATTCTGAATAATGTACCTCATTATGCAACTTGCACGTAAAGGCACATCGTATGTGAAGTGCGTATGTTCTTGGAGTATGACGCATCTATAAAGCCTCGGCAAAATAGGACCGTGCAGTGAGGACATTATGTTCTGTTTACACACCATACGTGGGTATTTTCTTGTGGGAGCCAGGTAGTGATAGTTGATGTAAAGTTCTACAGGCAAGCGCACTTGTGCGTCTAAAGAAAGTGATCCATCATAAATACATGGCCTATTTACCTGCAGGTGTTTGCAGGCATGTTTTGCCTTGTCTGTGTAGAGCAAAATGAAATGTTTACTCACCGATTGTGCATTTCAGTTTTTGGCACATCAGCTTGGATTTACCAGCTTAGAAAACAGACATGGCTGATCGGTGTTCTACATTTGGAGTGTTCCATGGGTTTGAGCACATAACATGGATATACCAAGAAGGCTGCACTTCACACCGGGAGTCAGTGTTGTCGTTATTGAATAAAGTTCCTCGCGACTGGTGCATGTACAGAAGAAAGGGAAGCTTTGTGATTCTCTTGTAAGCTTTCCTCTGTTCGGATATTGATATGATAGGAGTTAATCCCATGGAAGGATGGTCAAGATAGTCTCAGTGATCTGTCAGGCCTGGGATCAGAGGACAAGGTCATGAATGCCAAGCGTGAACGACAAGAATTGATGGAGGTATGCCTTTTTACTAAGGAGTGGTTGAATGGTCCAGTTTGACCACACTGTGTGTTCATCCAATTGGCTTTCCCAAGGTGGGCCATAGCACATGGCTTGTTCATGAATTACTGTTGACCATGCTCAATTAAGAAGATTGCTGATTTGCAGTTGAGTTCATCACTTTAGTTGGGTTTTACATATCTAGGAAGATCGAGATATCTTGTCATCATTGTAGAGTTCACCTTGCCTTTTGTATTGCACTGTATGATACACAGTTTCTGCGATTTCCAATTGTTACAGAAATTATATTGATGGTGTGAAATTGTACTGATGAGTGGAAATAATACTTGCTACGATTTTGCTGTGAAATCCTCAAAATTGCACTGTAAGTTTGATAATACTGTTCCCCATCATCAAAACCAATTTTGGACAGGTTGAGTTTGCTTGAAAAAATTTACAGATCGCCCGTGTTACATAAATCTTTAATACTTCTGAATAAGTCTTTATCTCTCCTGGCAGAATGTTGTGTACAAAGGATATATGGGTTGAGATATGGTTAGCACCATTGGTATCAGGTTGAAACGGTTGAGTGTGGACGGGTAATTTTTAATATTGACAAGGAAAAGGACAGGCAGATGTTGAATCTTAGAGGAAATCCTGAAGTGCTCTCTAGGTTATTTTGGATGATGACTACATTTATGTGATCTTGACCTTTTACAGAAAGTACAAAGCAAGAATGAACAGTTGAGGCAAGTCATAGAGCGGCTGAGGGCTTTGATCTGGGACATCAACACAATGATGGCCATGAGGTATGCCCCTTGGCCTTGATCACGACAGAAACACTCAAAAGTGGTTTTGACATCTGTAGGAGAAATGCGAGTTCATGCACGGCTTTGAAAATCGACAAAAACACAGCATGGTGCTATGAGAGACATGTACACCTACAACATTGATCCGTGCCTTAAGCATGCTTATGATGAGACACAGCAGATGGGCTTGATCATGAAGGAGACTGAATAAGATGGCCTTGAATACCATGGCTTTGATAAAGTTTGATGACGGTGAGACAGACGAGCAGAGAGGCATTGATGACCACAGGAGAAGTCCAAGTATGGTACCTTGCAGTAGAGGACAGCCTTGACAGAAAAATACACATGGATGTCATGATGATGGCTACACGTACATGTATGATGCCGCCAGTCCACGACTGCCTCAGTTTGACCTCAATTTGACCCCAAATGACAGTCTCTCTCACGTCACAACAACGAACCTTTCCCACACAAGGATTTACCTTGTACGTGTAAATTAATTTGTGATGTGGTCTGCTGCAACTATCTAGCAAACAGTGCTGGAGGGCCGAATGTCGTGTGCGCTAAATATACCGTGTATCTTCACATGAGAGTGCATCAGATCCATGTGTTTTGTATATCAGCTAAGCCAAGGTAGCTGATATTGAAAGTCAGGATCCGAACCAACTCTGTCTGTAGAGTAAAGATTTCTTTTGAAATCCGTTGTCTTCTGTATATTGACGGTGAGATAAACAGACCTTGGGTCCCAAGCTGGCTGTTGATAGCTTATCACTTCAGCTTGCTTTCTGTAGACCAAGGAGTAGATTGTAATATGTTACTTCAGGTTTTGTTCTGGGCTGGGGTTTGTATGGGGAATGTGGCTGGCTGGAGAGTTTGCAAAAAGGCTCAACAAATGACAATTTCTCTCTTTGGAAGGGGGGGGGGACATCAGCATATGAAAAGGTGAAAGGGGTGATCGTTGGATATCATCTAATGACTTGAGATGGCATAGTTCACAAAAGAGCTTATGCCCCATTCCCCGCTGCTGTGACACTTCAAAATGTTCATGGTGCTCTTTTTCAAGATGAATTTTTTTTGCGTTGGGGAGATGTTAATTATATATAACGGTTTTTTGCCCTTACCCAACGTATATTAATATACGTTGGGTAAGGGCAAAAAAGCGTTATATATAATTCATGGTGCTCGTTTTTCGTGATCTTTTCTTTTCCCCCTTTTTTCAGGGTGTGGCAGATTTCTGGGATGTTGGGGACATTTCAGTTGATATCTTTCAATAGAATGAAGGGGTTTAGGATATGGATTGCAGGACACCCCCACTTGTCTCCCACGAAAAGATGGACTTTCTTGATTTGATATACACTGTCTGAAATGTTGGTACACAGTAATTTTGAGTGCTATCTCGTCTTCATTGTCTAACACAGCTTCTAGGACGAGGACTTTATTGTAGTATAGCCTAATATCTAAGCTAATAAAACGCAAATTATGCTCTTACGGGAAACCTGTGCAATGCGACACCATTATTGGTCCTTTACAGTGCTGAAATAGAGACCCATTCACAAGTTACAAGGTGAACAATGGTAAAATTCTCTTGTAATTGTCTTTTGGTCTCTTGTGGTGGTATTAAGAGGTCTTGACAACACCTCTGCCTTTATATGTGCATAAATGTACATATTTTGATAGCAACAGAATGTGTTTGGGGCAATTACCATTGTTCAAAGACCGCGAGTAGTTTGTGCGTGTACGTTTTAGCAGCCTAATATTTGATTGATCTGCCACGTGCCACCCTTTTGAGTTCTGACAAAGATGGGAAATAGCGAATCTATCGCCGCTACAAAGAATCAGTGCTTGGGTTGGACAGATTCAAAGCCGTGGCTTAAATTTCTGGGTTCTACGAAGTTATGTTATTTTAGCCATGTCGATGTCATTTGCACATACAAAGATAAGATCCGCCATAATCGAAAAGCTCTCGGTCAATCGGCCATTGAATGACGGGATTTGTCATCTCCATGAAGGTGTTAAGTTCGGATATGGTCGACACTATACTTCGTTTTTATGCAGCTTTGATCAAGTAGTGTCATTAGTGTCAACTGCACAGAGGGTGAAATTACTGCATGAGAATGATTTCCCTACCGTTTAATGGCCATGTTAAATTTTATTTTTGACAAATTTTCTCATGTTTATCTGAAAGGATGCCAAGAAGCCAAAAACTGTTTTCAAAAAATTAATGTATTGACAAACATGAAAGATTGGGCTGTGAATAAGGAATAACGATTAAAAAGTTTATAGCGTCACTATGAAAATCTTGATTAATATTGACAAAGCGGCTTAAATACTTGCTAGGAGGCATGATTGGCTTTATTTTATTTAAGTCTTTTTTAATGAGGGTAAGCTCCATGAGTGCACAGCACTGCTTTCCATAGGGGCCCTCAATTAAAATACAATCATTAAACATTAAAATAGTATAAAAACCGTTATGTTTAAAAAGCACAGCAAAAACATTTTACTTACAATGAAGTCACCTAGAACATTAATTCGGGAAAGAGAAAAACTTGTAAATAAATAACTTAAAATACAAAAATGTAGAAACAAATATACATAAAATTGAGCTCAGTATCAGACCTTTGGAACATGTGTTCGGATTACGCAACTATTAATAATAAGATAAGATGATATGATGAATTGGTTCGACGACATAATTTGGCAAATAATTCAAATTGTCTGTTAATTATCTGAATTTAAGGATATGTGCCTTGAATTTGCTTTTTAAAACTGACGAGCGTAGGCAAAGTTTTCATGTCAGGTGGAAGGTCATTCCGTGACCTGGCTCCTGGCATCACTAAGCCTGTAACCAAGTGTTAGTCCTGCTGCCCGGTCTTGGAGTACCTGACTTTGATTTATGTAATTATTGGCAGCTTGAGTCCAGACTGTACAACAATAGCCAATGCGAGGCAGAAAGAGAGCATTATACGCATTAAAACGGGTATATTGATCCACATACCAACTCAATCGTTTCGTCACTTCAAGTCTCTGAGAGAGTTTAACAACAGTTTTATCAATATGAGTATCCATCTAAGAAACTGGTCAAACCATAAACCAAGGTATTTGAACTCGGTCACCTTCTCCAGAATATTGCCTCCGATTCCAACAGTCAGATTATTGTGAATTTATCTTTTATTTTTTGAGATGTACCAAAAGTCATGACGTTGGTTTTCGAAGCATTAACCATTCCTGAGCGTATAGCTCTGGCATGATTTACCCATTGGTCATTCCCAAATGAACAGCTCAGATTGGGATGAGCTATGCTATGATTATTGTTCAATCCCGTACAGTAATGTCCAGTCTCACTATTAACAGAAGTTGCTCAATGTAAATTTGTACGATGTAAGTAGTTGTATGTATAGATCAATCCAGTGACTCTCTGTCATTTTTGTTAACGGCTCCTTACCCGACAAGAGACGTTAGACTTGATCAAACCGTGTTACGATGCGGGTGCATGAAAACCTCTTGTCTTTTTCAAATGGAAGCCGTTGAAGGTACGTCTGTACTCTCTTCAGGTTCCTCGCCTGCTCTTCTCCGTAAAACGATTGGTACACGTACTTCTGTGATCGATGGAGGCCAAAATATCTGTAGTATTCTGCATCGGACCAAAAATAAAATTGACTTTTACAAGTTTGTAAAATTTTAAATTATATTTTAAAACTTTATTTTACAACCTGAATTCCATCGGACAACAGCGTCTCTGAAGATCAGCGTGTAACTTCAAATCAGTAGCACAGTGTTGTTGGAGCACTTGAATGAACGAATGGATACGGTTACTCACGGTTCCCAAGACGATCCCGAAGGACGTGGCTAGTGTACAATAGATGTACATGTACACGCGTACATTTCATACTACGAAAACCCGTTAGTACCACTCAGTGCTATTTTCAGAAGCAGCCATTTATTTTGTGAGCGGTTATTTTTATTTTACAGACCAGCTATTCGAAGAACTTTACAAAGCAAGGTTTTGGTCGCGGGCCTTGGCTTATTCTACGTACAATGACAACAGCTGGCCTGCATCCGAATGGCTTTAGCTCTATCTACAGCCCTGTTTCAACAAGGCCATAGGACGCACAAGTCTATTTTTAGTAACTTTATATTTTGCAGAGCAGCTATTCATATTTTCTCGATCAAATGTTACATTTATTTATTTTTTTTGGAGTTGCTATTTATATTTTTTAGAGCAGCTATTTATAGTTTTATGGTCCATGGATAATATATTATGGGGCAGCGCCCTCTGTTCTGTCGGCGCGGAGTTGGCCTTCGTTCGGTGTCTTCTAAATTGACAGCTTCCGACCGTATTTATTTCATATTGCATATTTCGGCGAGAGCAACGTGTGTCGTGTTAGTTTGGCGTAGTCGTATTCATTTCCCTCTTGTCTGTTTGGTTTACCATAGTCTTTTCGGTTTGCTGATGTCTTTGGTTCGCCTGCTGTCGTTTTGGTTTGTGGTTGTCCGTTTTGCTCTTTTGGCCACCCATACAACCCAGACTGCGTTAGAAAGTTTTCCTGACACGTGATCTTAAAGCTTTCGGGATTCTTGTCACTACCATTTTGCAGGCAACCCGGTTCTCTCAAGCTTTCTGCTGTTCACAACATTTGCTCTTCTTCAGTCCAACTGTATCTTAATGACTATAAGCCAGAGACGTTGACTCCAACGTTGATTGCGACGGGACAGGCCATGATGATGATAATAATGGTTGTCTGTAACAAAGAATTGATCTTAACATGGAGAAATACCGGTAAGGAAAGAAACCTGCAACAGGTATACATTTTTCCGATAATGTTAATGGCTATTTTCCACATTGTTCAACCTATAAGAGTTTCTATTTTTTAAACTGAGATCTATAGGAAATTATGACACGAACTGATGAAAATCTACCATGCCGTTTTCGTAAAACGATCTGTTATGAATAGCGAGGTCAGCCAAATTTTTAAACTTTCCACCAGTAAGTGCACATGTGAACCAGAAATGATCATAGTAACAGAGCCCTCTATCGAAACTCTACAGATACATGCCTACTCGTTAAGAGAGTTTTGACATGGTCTCATGTGCTTTCCAGGGGATTGTTCATGAAGCAGCATCTGAGAGTTACGAGTAAAGGATCTTGTAAATTTAGGCCAGGATAGTCAATATTGCACTGACACATAGAATACCATAAACAGCTAAATTTGTGAAAGAAGTTTAAGTTTATCGTCGAAATTTGCTAAATGTATTTAACACGTTTTGGACTTTATCCATTTTAAGCCTGATGTTTGATTTTTTTTTTAAGAAATTCAAATTGGGTACGGCATTGGTTTTAAGAACTAAAACGGGAAAATTTCGAAGTTGGAGAGTTGCTTTAATTTGCAAAATATATTACCACAAAGTTGTCCGGTTTATGTTACCACCTGAGCGTTGTTTGGATACATAGGCGTGAAAGAGCTAAAGACCAGCAACAGAACCAAAATTATGCTTACATTATCGTTCCAACAGGGAGGAGAGTCAAGCCAGAAAAGACGTAAAAGATTAAGGGTGGTAGGTAAAGGACGGAAGCCGCGTAGATGGTTGGTGCCACCGCACTTGCCACAAAAACCGCCAAACCATCGATGCATGCCACCAGGGCAAAAGCTGTGCCTGTCATAAAAGAGGTGGAAAAAGCATCTATTTCAACTTGGAGGCAAAACGGGTCCAGAGCACCGTCCACAGTGGCGTAACTAAGCCTAAACGTCTGGTAGGGGGCACCCAGAGGTGCACTCATTTTTCAAAGGGGCGCCACGAGAAAATAAGCTGCATAGCTACAAAAAGGCTCAACGGAGATTATTCACAGATTTCGGATTTTAAATGGGGTGCATCAGGGATGGGGGCCAATGGCATCCGCCGAGGCACGGCCAGGTTTTAATGATAAATTTGCATGATGCTTATAAAGGGATCTGGGAATTCCCCATCCAATTTAGCGAATTGTGTGACCTTTGAACCTTGTGCACGTCTTCAACCCGTTATTGGGCCCACGTGGGTGCACAGAATGTGCATGTACAGTACAAGTATTTTCTGTAAGTCTTGCCTGTCGGCCGGAAGTGGCCTACAATGTGATATTTTTTGGCGGCACTGAAGTTGGGCGGGTTTCCAAGGTTTTTGGGGGAGTGCTGTGCGAGACGTCCGGGTGGATGGACGTCGTGATGGCTCGGCCGGAATCACATAGATTATTAGCACCGGTATAATTGTCCAAGCAGTTGTGATTCTAGTGATGGCGAAATAAAAGAAATCCAGTCCGCTTGAATACCCAAGTCTTTCAGTGCCTGCTGAACTTTCTTTTTGCCTGCCTGGCCTCCATTTCCCCCTTCAGTGGCGGACGGACCCCCGCCCCCGAGCGATCGGCCAGGGGCCGGACCGCTACACTTATATCATGAGAAGGCCTTCATGAATACCATTTCTGTCATAGAGTTTTCATAACTTCATGGCGACCTAGTTATTTTCAAGGGCTCTTGAAGTGTGATCTTACTTTAGGAGAGCAGGCATTATCTGAAGTTATACCGAACACTTGAATTTATTGCATGTTAACAATAAGTACCTAAAAATTTGGGGGAGGCGCATTCGCTTTTGAATCTTTATGGCCACGAAATCCCAGGAAAGTTTAAGCAAATATAAAGTTATCAGATTACTCTGCCCAAACAAATCCCGTCTAGATTTTCTTCTTCGGATCCAAATTCTCTCTTTTAGCCCAACAGAATCATTGAAACCAAATCTATTACGTGTCTGTATTAAACTGTACAACGGTACCTGTAATGAAACACTTTGTGTCTAAGATGGCGTCGTAGTTCACCGATGAGCATAAATATTTCCATTCCACTGTAACTTAAAGTCCCCAAAACATCCTATAAGGGTTATGTACACAAATGATCGTAGAATTAAATAGGACCCTAAAAGGCTACAGTTCAAGGAATTAATTTCTTAGAAATCTACTCAGTGGGCAAGTTAACCGTTAACACCACCGTCACTATAGCCAAACGCTCTCCTGCAATCATTACTCACCGATTTCTGTTGGATCAACTATTTTGGACAGGATTGATCGTGCCACTGGCATTGCTGTCGCTCGGAAAGCACCCATGAGATTCGCTGCAACACATCAAATTTTAGTATAAATAAACAAATATTAAATAAATCGTTATATAAATTGAAGCTTGGATTTTTCTCTCGATTGGTTAACGTTGATTCCATTATAAACATTTGGACATACTGTCAGGTTTTTTTTTATAAAGACACGGTTTTCAGTTCAGTTTCGAAGCTTTTAATGCATGGGCATTGAGTTATTTTTGGTCAAAACCGAAAACTGTCCACTTGGTCGTCAGGCTCTGTGAAGGTCATCTACTTACCAGCGTAGATCAGCCAGGTTGTCTGAGACACACTCATTACAATATTGAAGGCCAGTAGGCTTAGACAACTAATTTGCATAATCCAGTATTCCCCCAAGCAGATAGCAAATAACTTCGATCCAGCAACCATTCCTATGGAAAAAGGGATCTGATTTTAACATGTACTTTTAATGGATGAGGTATTGGACGGAACTTGAGTTGATTTCCAAGTGTTAAAGTGGGTGAAACCTGAGTAAAAATGACGTTTTTCTCATAGGGTGCTTATTTGCCCAGGCAATAACAACTCACCGGCAGACGCTGTGAGAAATCCGAACGCCCCAGCCAAGCCAGCGCTGAGAGCATCCCAACAGAAAGGCGCTGCTGAGCCATAAATGATGAAGATGGAGATGGTGCCGTTGATGTTAATAATGATAACAAATAGGAAGAAGTCTAGGAGAAGCATCTGCCATCGGCGGCCGTTCTCATTGAACTTGAGAAGCTTCACCATACTCCTGCAAGCTTCTCTGAGCCCTTTGCGATGGTCGGGGATGTTGTCACGGTCTACAGTCTCAATCAGAATACCTGGGACGGCAATATAGATTAGGCAGAGGATATTGCACCCAAAAGCTATTAGCAATGGAGGGAGAGTGCTAAAATCACGTACCAAGTATCCGACACCTACTTGGGCGAGTCCGCTTAGCAATAAGAAAGTCATCTCAGCAAGCGCGATTCGTAAAGTTCGTTGTGTCTCTGTTGTAATGTCGACAATGTAGGAGATGCAACCTGCAAATAGTAACCCAGATCTACCCGTCGACCCCAGCAAAACCTCCCCGACAAAAAGTACTGGAAGAGGCAGTTCCCCGTAAATGGTTGCTATATAGACTGCCTCCTGGATAATGTAGCCAACGAGTGGGACGGCAATGCACATTTTCCTGCCTAACTTGTCACTTAAAGTGCCCAAAAGAATCGACGCTATTAGCATCGGTACACTTCCAGCCATGCTCAGGTACAGCAACCAAAGGGAAGCCTGCAACTGGATGTCGTCCTCTCTTGCTTTGTATTCTGTGTCGTTGATGTCGCATCCCGAGAAGTCGTCAAGAATGGACATGTTGTACATCAGTTCGCCAAACCGGCTCTTCAAGTAGAACGGCCGAACGAGACCCATGGAATTAGAGCCGACCACGGCCAGTGCAATCACGGGTTCTACAGTCACCCATCGGCGCTGAGCTCGCTCGCGATTTGGGACCATTCGTTCCTCAATATCTGCAAAACTCTCGTGAAGTTCTGCCTCTCTATTTTCCGTCATTTCGTTGCCAGATTCGGTTTAGTTCTCCTGGGTATCGAAAGACACATTTGACTTGGGGTAAGACAAACCCGTGTTTGAACCGTCACTTATGTGCTGGATGTTGAATAAAAATGGACTTCGTACATGAAACGAGGTCTGTGTGCAGTTGTGGCGCCAACGCTGAACAGTCTCGTTGGTTTGAACCATGTAACTTCTGTCAAAATTCAACGAAGCCCGTGTTTTACACCTCACATTGAGACGATGGTATTTGTACGTCAGTTGCCATCGGTCGAGTGGAAAGTTCAACACGCTATTTCTGATGTTGACATTAATAGATTAGATCTTACTGAAATGTGTTAACCTGCATTTCGCCTTTGCACAAAGATGGATGTTGAACACCTGACGTATAAACTCTGACTTATGCGACACTGAGAAGGGGGACCAAAAAAGAACAGCTGTTGGAAAACCCGGAGGTGAACTGAAAGGATTTAATACTACTTCGAGGCCTGTTGTTCCGATCCTAGATGAGTGTTACGTAATGGAAAATAAAATGAAATGGAAACATTAACATATTGGAAAGGTATGGCTTATTTGCACTAAGAATGGTCTTAGCCTAAGACGTTTAGTTAATACCTGTGCATACACGTACATTTACTCACAAGCAATGCAAATTATTCGATAAACAAAGGCCATTACTCTCGTTTCGATGACGTTGGTGTGTAGCTAGTCGAGAATCAAATACAAATGCGAAAGAATCTATATTTCGTGGCGAAACACGATCCACCACAGAATCGAAAACACCATAAAATACTGAGCCCTAAAACAGTATATTTTGTGTCAGCAGAGACAAAAACGAAGAGGAAAAAAGGCACGCGGAGACCTCTGTCTTTACAAAATGTGACGCTGAAGATCTTTTTTCCATGCCAGTTACACACCTTTGAGCGAATTTTCGGTTGGTTATTAAACCAATACTCATGCACTGTGAATGTATCACCAAATTCTAGTATCATCAAAGGGAATACAGGGGTTTAGCTGGGATTTAAAAGTTTTCCATGGTGATGCAGGAGGTTTATAAGAAGATAAAAATCAGTATACTGGCGAAAGACCGAACTTTCCTAATGTTGATTGGCCGTCAATGGCAGGACACCTTGTCTACCATATTCTGTGGATTCTTTAGTAAAGTAGCGATAAGTTACGTTTTTAAAACCCGAGAGAAAATCTATTGTAACAGAACAGTCGTGGAGAGTGGGAAACACTTCTTATTTGAAAACTCTTTAACGACATCAAATATTATTTTGTTTCGATATATTTTAATTTGATACGAGCACAGGCGATTTGTGTGAAAATGGTTCTTCGAGTGGTTTTCCAGAAAAAAAGGTGGTGACATAATTCTAGACCATTCGTCTTGCAGACCGCAGAGCTACTTTAGCGTTGAGATGTACACACATCTATACTACATTTGTCACTTGTACTCTGCTGCATACGAAGCTGTATTAGGGACTTGTATGGTGAATGATTCTCTCCTCGAGCTAACTCGTTCGACTTCTATGTCGCACTTTTATGTCCTACGTATCACTTGCAGACCTGCCGACATGCTGTACTCCTTCCTAAGGTCAGGCATTACCACATAATAGATTAAAATTTGAAATGAACTGAAGACTTATTTAAATACCTTTTAATCTATTGTGTGGTAATGCCTGACCTCAGGAAGGAGCACGGCTCGGTTGCTGGTCTGCACGCATGTCCTACGTGGAGGAGAGATTTTTGTTTGTTTCACCGTGCCCCTATTACAGTCTCGTAGCTGAATATAATGTGCTTTCAAAGTCCAAAGGGGATCAAGTACGCCAAAGTTCGAAGCTTGCACAGGTTTGAATGCTGTGCATAGGTCCACATTGCTTCAGATGAAGTGCCATTATCCCAGACTTTGCAGAGTGTACACATTGCTTGACATTCAACGCAAGACTGGGATTCCGAGTCTGATCTTTGCTGCAGAGGGTTCCATCTGGAAGGCTGTCCTTTCAGGGTGAGGTTTATATTCTGCGTGAGATAAAGACGCAAAGAACGTGGTTTTAGGGTCTGGGCGTGCATACAAGACACCGGTCGCTTCTATACCCATGCATTGATTCTTGTAGCTTCACATGGGCCCTTTGCATGAACGTTACCGAGGAATATAGGCGATGATGCCGGACGTAATCAACGGCAACACTCAACAACTACAGGACATGACCTCCCACTCTAATGGTTGGATAGTCATGCATGTATATGGTTCATATTGTGTTCAAGTGAATTTTGTATGGTTAGTTGTAGACAAATGCTTTCGTGTTTTCGTTTTTATAATGTTACACTTCCGGTATTAACCTTAAAATAAATGACCTCTGTACAGGGCACCTTGGAAGTTGTGGCAAATGACCCATGATGACAGTTTCACGCACCCCCCAATGTTGTCTGTAAAGTTTCGTTGTCTGAATGCATGTACACATTTAGCTGAATTGAACCTTAAGCTCCAGCGATATAATCAAGAAAATAGATATTTAAGAAATGATAATTAATAGCAGGATGATGTCATCATGACGTTATTTCATTCTTGGCGACCTCTAGACTTTTAACACGCACACAGCAATTTGGTTGATAACCAAATGTTCCCTTATATGTGCGAATCAGATTAATGCAGGTTTGAAGATTCCATTATGACGTCAGAATTTTCAGAAAAATATTTCATTCAGGCGGTGTGTAATGCGTAATTCACTCGCGAAGCGCTGGTCTGGTGCCTTGACTTATTCCTACTCACAGACGCGCCACCATCGTTGGGAGACATCTGGGCATAATTTTTAAAATGTCGACATCCGCTGCACCTCACCGCACAAAACCAACAACGAAGGGAGCAATCTTGGCTGAACCCACTGCATTGAGATCCCTCTATTAGATCGATCTGCACGTGCCACCCTTTTGAATGTCGCTAACAAAAGATGGGAAATAATGAATCCATCGCGTCTAACACCCGTTTCAGACAGGCGTACCAGAGTCGCGCTGAGCTAAATAAAATTAAGAGCAACTCGGGTCGACCCAATTGGATTTTGGTTTCATACATTTGCATTGGGTTTGGGCCATGAAAAGAGCTACTTCTGAATCCAAGTCGCTCTGATGTCGTTCCAAGCGCCTTCAAGTGTCGATCTTTCGCTTGCTTGCACGCCTGATCGCTCCTAATTGTTTCAGACATCGAACTGTCGCCGTACTAAAATTCAAAATTTGCTTTTAAAGCTTGGTTCGGCGCGACTCCCCAAGGCCTGTCTGAAACGGGGATTATTAAAAAAATCAGCGTTCGGCTTGGACGATTCAAAACCGTGGGTTAGATTCTGGGTCCCACGAATTTTCTTTGTTTGAGGCACATTCAAGTAGCATGTGACATCATTTTACACACTCAAAGATAGAATTCACCATACTCGAAACTCTCTGTCGATCGGCCATCAATGGACGGGAGTTGTCGTCTCCATGTTAGTGTCAAGCTTGGACGTGGTCGACATTGTGCATGGAATTCGTTTGTATTCGGCTTTGATCAAGCACTAACATTATTAAAGTAACTCAAACTGAACAGAGGGTCAAATTACTGTATGATAAGGTTTTCCCTGTTGTTTAAGGGCTGTTTTATTGGCTATTTGATTTTGACACATTTTCTCATTTTTAACCGAAAGAACGTGTAGCCTGGAAAAATGACACACCTAAGAAAACTTTAGACACTGGCAAAATACAAAAAAAATCTTTCGCTGGGGATTAGCACAAAAAGACAATCCGGGATCGGGTAAGGACAGGCGCGAGATCTTTGTAAAAAAAATAACACAGAGAAAATTTCTTCAATTCCGGAACAACCAATCAAAAGAAGATTTATATAAAAAAGGG